ATGGTTAAGCGTCTGCCTTCAGCTCAGGTCATGATCCCAGGGTCCTGGGATCGAGCCCCACATCGGGCTCCTGGCTCAGCGAGGAGCCTGCTTCTTCCTCTCCCTCTGCCTCTCTCCCTGCTCATGCTTTCTCTCTCTCTCTCTCTCTCTGTATCTCTGTGTCTCAAATGAATAAATAAAAAAAAATAAAAAAAATTAAAAAAAACAAAATAAAATAAAATAGAGATTCCTCACTTTACATTTTATATCTACTTTCGAAAAATGGCACAGTACATGTCATGTTGTGATAGGAGGCTGTCAGGTTGCCACATTTTCATTGACCCAAAGAACCTGAGAAATGTGCTCATGGCCAAGAGTGGGTGCCAAAGATGTTAGTGAGAAAATATGTATCAGAACACATTTGAAGCATCCGTCCATATTCTGAGGCTCACTGGATATTGTTCGTTAGGATGGACATCTGCTGTTCATTGTCTTCCCAACCTGGAACTTAGCAGCCCCGTGAAGGGTGGAGCACTGGTTTGATTCAGGGAGGATAGAATCCCAGACATCAGAGATGTTTCTTGAGATACCTTGAACCCTGTTGATCTCTGATTTCTTGGGTAAAGTATGCAAACAAAGAAAGATAAGGGAAAGAAAATAACAAAAAGGGGATGATATGGAATAACCTAAAGAATGAAAATTTGTTTAGAGAACTGTATTGTGGTTTATGTCAGTGCTTTACTCATCAATCCCTGCTCATGGTACAGTGTGAACATTCTGCTTTAATAAACTTACATTTGTGTGGGAAATGATTCATTGTTGATTAGATTTATCACATCTGATGCTTCAATTTGTCTTACAGTTCAAAGAACATTAAGTCACTTCTTTGAGGGAAATCTCTCAGCATCTAAATATTTGCAAGGTAGAATGCTCTGAAGAAATTATCACCTAGGATATATGAATAATTTTCTACTCTGTAAGAAAATGTCTTTTTATTTATCTGAGAGAGAGAGTGTACAAGCTGGGGGGAGGGGCAGAGGGACAAGCAGACTCCCCACTGAGCACAGAGCCCAACATGGGGCTCGATCCCAGAAACCCAAGATCATGACCGGAGCCGAAGTCAGATGCTTAACTGACTGGGCCACCCAGGTGCCCCAGAAAATATCTCACACTGTTTTCCTCCTGTGGCTTTTGGGATGTGAGCTGACAGTTGGCATCAGCCTGTTGGGGCCTATCACATTGAAGCCCAGAAAGAAGCTTCCAGAAGCAGTTTGTCTGCTTGAAATAGTTTATGTATGGGTTTTCCTAAAAAGGAGTAGAAGAAATTGAGAACAGAAGCTGGAGCTCTGGACAGCTTTTTTCAATGCAGAAACAAGCTATAAGCAGGACTCAGAAGAGAGTCCTTGGGACAGAGGACATGGGTACTTGGACAAAGAGACATTTATGGCTCTTTAAAACCCTTGGTCATCAGCTTTCTCCCCCAAAAATGTGCCTCCTAGGCCTCCCTATTGCCTCCCTGCCTCTTCTTTCATTTTTATTTCGTGGACCGGTTGAGGTGATCTGTAAAATTTAGGCTGTCATCTTCCTGACTTAAAGCTCTCACAGCTTTTGACTTTTCTCACTCTTGCTGACCCATCCTTGCTGCGGTCTCTCCAGAGAATCCCTCCAGCCACCAGGGCCTCTCACGTGTTCTGTGCCACACAACGAAAGAGAATAGGGAATTTCTTTTGGAGATCTGCCTTCTGATCTTCAGGGTGAGGCTGAGGCGTTCGCGGCTCTGTCCAGTTTCACAGAATTATACATTATTATCATCTGTAGAGAGAACTTTTTAACTTTTAATGGTACAGATTGCTAGGCAGAGATCATTAGCTGGATGTTTCTTCTAGGATTATAAAATGCATGGTAGTCTGGGCGGATTTCCGGGACAGCAAGATGGAGACATACGGGTACACAAGGAGAGCTGTTGTGTTGCATGAAGGTCAATGGCGGGCCCTTGAAAGTGATGAAAGACAGTAACAAATCACGGAGTTGAGGTTGATCATAAATAAAAGGTGTGAGTTCTAGTCCAGGAAGGGAATGGAAAGAGTCGGTAGTAAAATGAAGAGATATTTAAAATATTATCTTGTGAGGTGTTTTATGGCCAAATAAATAGATTTGGAATTTCCCAAGGATAGTGAAGAGATCCTCACCCTTGTAAAAAAGAAAATTAACCTGACAAGTCTGAGATTCTAGGATCATGGCCTTATATCCCTCGTCCTCAGACACTTGCTTAAAACTCTGTTTCCTACTCTTACGCCAAGGTGGTTTTACAAAAATCCATTCTGGGGTGCCCGAGTGGTCAGTCAGTTGGGCATCTGACTCTTGATTTCCGCTCAGGTCATGATCTCGAGGTCGTGAGATTGAGCCCCACATCGGCTCTGCAGTGGGTGTGGAGCCTACTTAGGATTCTCTCTCTCCCTCCCTCCGCCCCTCCCCATCCCCACTAACATGCTCACTCTCTCTTAAAAAAAAAACCAAAAACCAGCAATTCTATAAAATGTCCTCAGAGGGGTCCAGCAGGAAAATGTGAAGATTCCTAATAGAGCATGGCCTTGCCCTTACCTGCTTGCTTCCTAGTTCCAGGCTAAGCAGTGCCTCTCCTTTGACTGTTTCCACCCCTTTCACAGTACATTTCTTTGGGATGAGTCATTACCAAGAGAGGATTCCCAGGCTGATAACCTTTCCTTGCACACCTAACTCTTCAGCTTCACAATGAGTTCTTTTCTCTCAGGCCTGTAGTCGTTTTCTGGCAAGGGAACGCTCCCAGTGAAGGAAGAGCATAATCTCAGTGGTGTGAGAGACGCTCCCATGCTGCATGTTAATACCTTTCCCTCCAGGTTTTAATATTTCATGGACCAGCTGGTTTATGCATGTCCTTTCTGATGCTTTTTGGTTCTACTAACAGCCTTTGGGTCTGTTTCTGGTTCCTTAGGAAATCTATCACGGAGATGGGTGTGCATATGTGCATGTTTGTGTGTGTGTGTGTGTATGTGTGTGTGTGTGTGTGAGAGAGAGAGAGAGAGAGAGAGAGAGGGAATTGTGTTGTAATTCTCTGATAATCTCAAGTATATATTTCTGGTGGCACCAGGCCCGTAAAAGCAATGAAGGTTTCCTGAGGAGGAAATCGAAGAGGCCTCGTAGGTCACAGCTGGAAGGGACCACAGAGACCACAAGGGACCACATTTCCCTTTCTAACCTGAGAAAATGGAGGCCAAGACATTAAGCAAATCCGCTCAGGGCGTCGTAACCAGGGATTAGCAGGGTGTGGACTGGAATCTGTTTTCTCTGCTCCCAAATGAAAACACTGCATCTAAACAGGCCCTTTCTCCTACGACTTTGTCATGTGCAGTGATTGTAACAAGAGGAACGCAACACGTACTTGGTGTTAGTGAAATAGAAATATTTGTTCTTCATGTTTATATAGGCTGAAATTTAATTTTTTTTTTACTTTTAGTAGCAGCCTCTGAATTTTCAGTTTTCTTATTTCTCCCCGGGCTTACTTTTAGCAAACCTAAAAACACCAACATAGAGTATAACAGCCACCAGCCTGCATGCCTGAGAGAATTTTGGACTTTCCGTTGTCCTTTGCCATTCACGTATCAAGTAATGAAATGTCTTGGTGCTTTGGCTTCAAACAGTACATGACAAATATGGGGAAAGTAAGGGTAGGTCTGCCTTTGTGGGAGGAAAAAAAAAGGTGAGCTTTTTGTCCCTATTTTCTGAGGTTTTGGACGACAATTTACCAGTCTACCACTGTCAAAGTCTGATTGGTTATTTTCATATCAGATTATCCCAAGTGCTGAGGAAGACTTTCTTTCTTGTCATGAGGTTATTTTAAGTTTCTATTGTTTGAATATAATAATGTAAAGTCTTCCATTTGAAGTGTTACATCAAAATATATCCCCAAGAGAAGGCTAGAATTTTCCTACCATAAAGCATAGCTGCCTTGCCAGTGGGTGTGGGGACACTTCGGTTTGATGACCAGGTGTGAGTTTGGTTCACTGATTCACCTTGTTTCTCGTCATTTCCAGGACCCCACTGGGGACTCCAGAGTGCCCAGGGCAGAAGCAGACCAGGAACTGGAACAGCTGAAGACCCAGGTGGCCTATCTCCAAGCTGAAAAGGCAGATCTGCTGGGGATTGTGTCAGAACTCCAGCTCAAGCTGAACTCGGGTGGCCCCCCTGAAGACTCCTTTGTTGAAATCAGGATAGCTGTGAGTGTCCTGGTTTTGATTTAGTTTTAAGCAAATTACAAAACCTCACCTAGACACCTAGATTACCACTATGTCTTTTCAACACACGGAAGCCAAACTGGGGGGTGGGGGGAGGAGGGGAGTTTCAGCATCGATATCACCAAGATAAATTGACTCTTGTTTTTAAGTATGACATAATCCTAGGGGCGCTTGAGTGGCTCAGCCAGTTAAGTGTCTGACTCTTGATTTCAGCTCAGGTCACGATCTCAGGGTCGTGAGATCCTGCTTGGAGCATGGAGCCTGCTTGGGATTCTCTCTCTCCCTCTGCTCCTACCCCTGCTCACGCACACGCGCTCTCTCTGTCTCGCTCTCAAAAAATAAAAAAAATATATATATACATATATATATATAATACTCATGAGGGTTATCATGGCTGAAATGGAAGACTATTGATTACCTTTTATGACAAAAGAGATAGGGCTTTTTTCCCCCTCTTCCCATAGGTACTGACAAATCAGACATTTTGTGATCTAAAAAACCAAAACAGAAACATAAACTTTTTTTTTTAAAGATTTTATTTGACAGGGAGAGACAGCGAGAGAGGGAACACAAGCAGGGGGAGCGGGAGAGGGAGAAGCAGGCTTCCCGCTGAGCAAGGAGCCCGATGCGGGGCTCGATCCCAGGACCCTGGGATCATGACCTGAGCCGAAGGCAGACGCTTAACTGACTGAGCCACCCAGGTGCCCGAAACATAAACTTTTTCAGGCCAGGTCCTTAGCTGTGTCCAGCACTGCACTTAGGTGAGCAGACTCATGAGCAAATGCGGTAAACTGATGGCTTTAAAACACTTTTTAATAATAGAACCCTCTTTTCAAACAAGCCTTACAAGGAACCTTGGTTGGGCAGTGAAGAAAAGAAAGGGCAGAGACGCTGGGGTTGTGGTTGAGGGTTGACCTTGGCTTTGCCCCCACGTCTAACAGCAGCTGCCTGGGCACCTCCAGGAGCTGAGTGTGAAGCCCCCGGTGTCTGACACGTTTATGTGGAACTGAAAATGAAGTGAGCTCAGTGAAGTAGCGTGTGGCGGCCCGTTCCTGAGCACATGAGGAGCATCTGTTGAGGCCATATCTGGGTGTGCGGGCGGTCCTGCTCAAGAGCAGGGCAGGTAGATGAGCACAGAGGGGCCTCTCCTTCGTTGCTGCTCAAAGACACTGAATAGTGAGGGAGAAAAACACACAAGGATAAGATCTTCTGTGATACACACTGGCATTTTAGCTTTGTCAGACCGTACATATGACACAGGAAAAGAGATGGTGTCTCTGAGAGAGGAAAGTGGACCTTGTAGACAATGCGTGGGGAGCTTATAAAAAGCTGAACTCCTGGGCATGTTGGAATTATTCGCATGTGACTTTCCAGTACGTTTGCTGCACTGAAGAGTAGTAGGATGGGGAAACGGCAAAGTAGGAACTTTGCCACCCATGCTCCCTAATAAATCTTTGGGTGCATTCATAGCAGCCGAAATCAGGAGAATTAAAATACCAAATGGAAAGCACACTTTGCCAGAGTACCCTCTCTGCAGATGACCAAAGATTGTGAAACGCAGGTTTGATCAAACAGCTTTCACCTTCTGCAAATACCTGGCAAAATTCAGGAAGGCCAAGGAGCGTATGAGAAGTTTCCAAAAGAGGCTTCTTCCTTTGGGGTGAATGGTTAACATAATCTGCTCCTTCACTGATCCGATGAGTGACAGTTATTTTTAGTGTAAACATGCTTTTCTTGCCTTGCTTCTGTGAACTGGAAAACACTGCCCAAGATTTAGGAAAAATGTACATGATCAGAATTATCTAGAACCATCTCTGTCCATGCGTTTTTGGAAGATTTTCCCGCTAGCTCATTGGAATATTAATGTCTTTCATATCATTTAACTGGTCTTGGACTTCTTGTTCCCTTAAGGGGCCCACGATGTATACAAATTTCTGCTAGGAGCTAACTTTGTGCTTTGTGAGCTCTGCCTACAGAAAGCAGCCTCTTTTTCAACATTGCTTCAGCAAGTTCTGACGTTTTGCATTTTAAAGGCCTGTGCAGGGAAGGTGTGTGGAGGCGGCACTAGCTGCATGTGACCTTCACTTGGGAGAGAAGGGAATGAGCTGCCAAGGAGAAGGAGGAGATAAGTTTTCATATGTTTGGGGTCAGGTTGGCTGTTCTGGATGAGAGACCAGTCTTCACGCCTTGGCCTAGATATTTATAATCCTGACAGGGTGCGCAGGGTGAGGGAAGGCTAAATTCCCATTCCATTTCAGTGACCTCATTGAAACATCTCCCATTTAAATGTCGGTAGCTTCCTTGGGTTGCAGGTCATCCAGATCCATGATCTTACTGTCTTTTTCTCTCTCCTCTCTCTCTTTTTTTAAGATTTTATTTATTTATTTGACAGAGAGAGACACAGCGAGAGAGGGAACACATGCAGGGGGAGTGGGAGAGGGAGAAGCAGGCTCCCCGCGGAGCAGGGAGCCCGATGCGGGGCTCGATCCCAGGACCCTGGGACCATGACCTGAGCCGAAGGCAGACGCTCAACGACTGAGCCACCCAGGCACCCCCTTTTTCTCTTTTGATAAAGAATTTGTCTTGTGGACATTATCATGGTAAAGCCCTTTCATTTCTGCCTTTATAGGAAGGAGAAGCAGATGTGGCAGTGAGAGAAATCAAGACGAGTCCTGGGCCCGCAAGAACTGATTCCATTGACACGTATGTGAAGACGGGCTAGGGCCGGCGGAGACACCTGTCGGGCAGTCTTGTCGCTTGCAGCTCGCCGCGGGGAGGTCAAACATCCTGGGCTGCAAAAGTCGATTCTTGCTAACTTAAGCCAGCACCTTTTTTTTTTTTTAAAGATTTTATTTATTTATTTGACAGAGAGAGAGAGAGCAGGAACACAAGCAGGGAGAGTGGGAAAGGGAGAAGCAGGCTTCCCGAGGAGCAGGGAGCCCAACGCGGGGCCCGATCCCACGACGCTGGGATCATGACCTGAGCCGAAGGCAGGCGCTTAACGACTAAGCCACCCAGGCGCCCCATGCCAGCACCTTTTAAGACTGTCCGGTTTGAGTGGGATTTAGTGTTGTAGCCCAGGCTAGCAGAGAATAAAAACAGCGTGTGGCGCCTCTGTAGACAAACTCAACCCTCCCCACTCTGTTTAGAGGTGTTTCATCTCCCATAAGATGAGAAGTGAAGACAAACTTGTTCTTAATCAAAAGACTCAGGCTTGCTAATTTGTTTACCGGTAGAGTTTGACCTGGCCTGGGCTGTCAAGCCCGATAAGTGGGATGTTATCATTTTGTCTTTCCTGCTCATTCCCGAGGATAAGCCCAGGTGACTGATCCTGGGTAATCTCCTCTAGTGAGGACTGGGAGTGCTCTGAGTCACTGTCTTACCCAGTGGCCAGAAGTCTTACCTGTGGAGTCTCAAGTTGACCTGTTCCAAGTAGACATTAGGAAGCAGACATCTTAAATGGCGGTGTGTGGGGCAGGGGGACGAGGGGCTTGGCAGAAGAGATGGCAGAGGAGCTGGGCATTCGAGACTCTCACCCGGAACCCTGTACACAGGTTACTGCTGGGTCAGTCTATTTGAAAGAGACTGTTATTACCGGAAAATTTCTCTAGGAATCTCTTCTGTCATAGGCTTTAAATACCTTTTTTTCTGTAACATGACGAATGTACTTATAAAACATGAAAATGGGCAGTTTTCTTTTTTCCCAATTATGCTCCCAAGCCCTTGCATCAGGGAGAAAATAAGTGTTAGATAATATTCTTTCATCAAACAGGGCATAAGTGAAAGTTGCACTTTGCTTAGTTAGCAGTCCCTCGGCTTTCCCCCCGACTGTTTTATTAATATCGAAAGACTTTTCTGGAAGTGGTGGGAAGGAAGAAGGCCCTGTTTGAAATTTCCAAGCCACTTCCTCCTCATTTATATCCACCTGCTAAAACCACTTCCTCTTTTAAGCCACAGGTTGGTTGGTTGGTGTTTTTTTTTAAGATCTTATTTTTAAGTAATCTCTACACCCGACATGGGGCTCGAACTCATGACCCCGAGATGAAGAGACACACACTCCTCTGACTGAGCCAGGCAGGAGCCCCGAGCCACAGTTAATGTTTTAATAACAGCTTTCTTACCTCGTTTGAAGGTGTGTTAAGGAGTCAGAGATTGATTTCTGGGTGCAGAGGTCGGAGTCGGGAACTGGGATTTAATCCCAGCTGTTTATGAGACGTGTGACCTTGGACATGAGCATCAGTGCGGTCACCCGGGAAGTGTAGCTGCCGTACCAGTGGTCCTGGTTTTGTTTGCCATCCCACCCCTTCTCGGTATAATCAGATTTCAAAATCAGGGAAAATATTTCACATACCAGCGGTGCCTACATTTCTCTGCTGTAATGATTTGAAATCAGAAACAAAAAGTGCTTTCTTCTCTTGACTTGAGAATATCAAGTTGAAGAAAGGCTGGCGGTCCGCATGTTGCCAGGCAGCACGCGTGTTCATGTACTTTGTATGACTGGTCCTCTTTGAGACTAGTTCTCTGGGGAGGCCGAGCACTGGAAACCAGGGCCACCTCTGTTCCCGGGGGTCCTGGGGTCTGATGTTGTGGGCACACTGGCTGTTTGGAGGAAGCGAGCATGTATAGTGCAAGGGGAGCCTACCGGAGAGCCCCCGCCCCTCTCCCCGGAGAGCGTGGAGGAGTGTGAGCCTGGTGGTCGCATGACCAGCTGCGTTTGGCCTGTAAATGAGAATTATTTGGAGAGTGTTCTGGGAAGCATTTCCTTTATGTTGGTGCCAGTTACGTTCGTAGACCCTTTGACATTTGTGTTTCGTGATGAAAGCCTTTTAATCTTTGTTCTGTTCTTGATGTAGGAACAAATCTACAGAAAGCTCCAGGAATTATTTGGAATTTGAGAAATTAACTGTGAGCCAGCTCCTTCTTTGTCTAAGGGAAGAAAGCCAGAAGGCGGAGAAGCTTGAAACTGCACTCAAGGAAGCCAACAAAAGGTACGGAATTGGTAACTTGAAATATGCATTCATTGCTTTTTTTTTAACAGCTTTATTGAGATAAAACTAAGACACCCGGTAATCCATCCATTTAAGGTATACATTTCAGTACTGTTTAGAATATTCACAGTCATGTAGCCATTACCACATTATAATTTTGGAACATTGTTTTCACCAGATAAGAAACCCAGTTCCTGTCAACACTGATTCCTCATTCCTCCCAGCAGTCTGTCTTCTGTCTCCACAGATTTGCCTATTCTGGACATTTCATATAAATGGGACCATATAATATGTGGCCTTTTGTGGTTGACTAATTTTATGTAGCGTCATGTTTTCAGAGTTCATCCATGTTGTGGCACATACCAGTCCTTCACTTCCTTTTTGTTGCCAAATAATAGTCCATTGTGTGACTAGTCAGCATTTTACTTATATTCATCAGGTGGGGAACATTTTGGTTCGCACTTTTTGCCTGTTGTGAATAATGTTTGCTGTAAACATTCTTGCACAACTTCTTCTGTGGACATACTTTTTTTAATTTTCTGGGGGTATATACCCAGGAGTGGGATTGCTGGGTCATTGGCTCTGTGTGTTTAATAGTTTGAGGAACTACCAAACTGTTTTCTGCAGTGGCTGCGCCATTTTATGTTTCTACCAGCAATGTATGAGGGTTCTACTTTTTTCCACATCCTCCTTCACACCTGTAATTGTCTGTCTTCTTGATTATAGCCATCCTCATGGGTCTAAAGTGGTGTCTCATTGTGATTTTGATTTCATTTTCCTAATGACTGATAATGTTGAGCATCTTTTCATGTTGATCATCTGTATATCTTCTTTGAAGAAATATCTATTGAAATCCTTTACCCATTTAAAAAAATTAGATTGCCTTTTTATTACTGAGTTATAAGAGTTCATTATATATTCCAGATGCAAATCCTTTATAAGGTATATGACTTGCAAATATTTTCTCCCATTCTGTGAATCACCTCTTTACCTCCTGGGCGCTATCATTGACAGCACAAAATTTTATTTTGATGTAGTCCACTTTATCTATTTTCTTTTGTCACTTGTGCTTTTGGTGTTGTATCTAATGAACCGTTGACTTATCCAGGGTCACAACGATTCACTATGTTTTCTTCTAAAAGCTTTATAGTTTTAGCCCTTACATTTAGGTCTCTAAATGTATTTAAAGTTCATATGTCTGTATGGTGTGAGGTTGAGGTCCAACTTCATTCTTTTGTGTGTGGATATCCAGTCATCCTAACACCATTTGTTGAAAAGACCATTCTTTCCCTCAGTGAACTGCCTTGGCACCCTTGGTGTAAATCAGTTGGTCATGCATGTAAAGATTAATTTCTAAACCTTTAATTTTATTCCTTTGATCTATATGTTTATCCTTTGCTAATGCTACACTGTCTTGATTAGTACAGCTTTGTAGTAAATTTTGAAATCAGGAAGTCTGGGTTCTCCAACTTTGAAAGATTGTTTTGGCTATCCTGGGTTTCTTGTTTTTCTGTGTAAATCTTAGGATAAGTTTGTTAATTTCTGGAAAAAAAAAAAAAAGCCAGCTGGGATTTTGTTAGGGATTACATTGAATCTGGAGTTCAGTTAATATTGTTCTTAACTATATTAAATCTTCTGATCCATGAAGGATAACCCATAGATTTAGTTAGGTCATCTGTAATGTATTTCAATGATGTTTTGTCATTTTTAATATACAGGTCTTAAACTACTTTTCGAAATTTGTTAGCACTGTTATACATGAAGTTGTTTTCTTAATTTCATGTTTGGAGTATTCTTTGCTAGTGTATAGAAATACTGCTGACTTTTTTGTATATTGTACATTGATCTTGTAGCCTGAAACCTTGCTAGAACTCATATATTAGCACTAATAGTTTTTTAGTGGGTTGCTTAGGATTTTCTTTATACAAGATCATGTCATCTGCAAAGGGGTAGTGTTACTTCTTCCTTACCAACAAGGGTACCTTGTATTTCTTTTTCTTGCACAATTTCCCTGGCTAGAATCTCTAGCACAATGTTAAGTACAAGTGGAGAAAGCAGACATGCTTGTCTTACTTAGGCGGGAGAGCCTTCAGCCTTTTCCCATCAAGTATGATGTTAGCTGCAAGTTTTCATAGATGCTTTTATCAGGTTGAGAAGCTCCCTTCTATTCCTAGTTTGTTGTAGTTTTTATTGTGAAGCGTTTTGGATTTTGTGAAATGCTTTTTCCATGTCTATGGGGATGATTAATGGTTTTTTAAACTTCTGTTAATATGATGTATTATAGTCATTGATTTTCAAGTGTTAAACCAACCTTTCATTCCTGGGTAAATCCCACTTGGTCATGATGTGTAATCCTTTCTATATGTGCTAGTTTAGATTACTAAAATTTTGTTAAGGATTTTTTGCATCTTTATTCATAAGGGGTATCAGCCCATAGTTTTCTTTCCTTGTAATGTCTTTGTCTGGTTTTGGTGTAAGGGAAATACTGGCCTCATAGAATATGGTATACATGTAAAAAGTGCATTTGCACACAAATGTAAACACAAATTTACATGTATACCATAGAATATGGTATACATGTAAAAAGTGCATTTGCACACAAATTCATTGACTTCACAACTCTATAATATAGGTGAATTTTATGTGAAGTCAATGAATTTGTGTGCAAATGCATTTTTTAGAAATGCAAAATCCACGGGCGCCTGGGTGGCTCAGTTGGTTGAGCAACTGCCTTCAGCTCAGGTCATGATCCTGGAGTCCTGGGATCGAGTCCTACATCTGGCTCCCTGCTCAGCGGGGAGTCTGCTTCTCCCTCTGACCCTCCCCCCTCTCATG